AACCCATTTTGATACACATATTACATGTGCGGAGGTATTGCACATATAAGGCATCGCAAGTTTTGAACACCAAAATTCCAAAATTTTGCTTAATCCTTTAAGTGGCAATGCGCCCTGATGCATGCGCCCTTCTGATTATTTTACTCTGTCTAACGCCAGACAATCTTACTCGTCAAGGGAGAGTGCTGCCACTCACTGGGTTATGTTATAACCCTGCATCTCTTTGGGAGTAAAAATTCCGCTTGGATTGAGAGATCACGTGACCTCATAATGCCACAAATCAACCTAAATGTATTGTAAACAAAATTATGAATTAAAATACTTGTTCATTTTTCACAACTGAAAGCTTTATTCTTTAAAAAGTGGTTACGTTAAACGAAAACGTGTTGAGAAGGTTCTAACGCAGGCTAACAATGTATGTACTGTCTGTACTAGAAAATCATTGAAGACGTCTTAAGGAACAAGGTTGCCAATTCCTGATTCCACGGGCGCTTTTTTCGGCAAAATGTGAAACAATTCGCGCGAAATGAATTAGAAGCATGCGAAATGAAAAAAGGTAAATTAGGCTGCACGAGAAAAATTTCGCTTCACCAGTGAGTAGAAATCAATTAGCCTTTCTCACGATGACGAATATCCGCCATTTTTGGGTGGCATTTAATTCTCGTTAACCAATGCAGGCAATTATAACAATGTGAAAAGCAATTTTTCAAAATAAACTTACAAAGCAAATATACCCTCATTCGTCCAAAAAATTATAAAAAGTCACTGTTATGTGGACTTATCTCGAAGACTTCGGCTGAAAAGCATCCCAAAAATGGCGGTGTACAAGTTGCCATGGGTACAGTACAAGTTGACAATATGATGAGTATTTGTCTCTCTAGCGACTTTCAGAAAATCTGTCAGGGTCATCACTAAATAAGTGTTCAACATGCAAAACTTTTTCTCACCCCCTGCATGCAGGGCTATGCTTGAGTGTCATTTTAAAATTATAAAATTAAATTAATTTGAATACATCATGTGTATGATTTATTGTATGCATGCTATTGCCAAATAACTGTCAGTAGAATCTATTACATGACAGTCTGGCAGTGTATAATTTTACAATCTCGTTCCCAGAGTATTATGTACACTACATAACCCGCGAACAGGCATACTCTGGGAACGAGATTGTGTATAACAGAAATCCTGAACAGCTTACCACAAAATGTGAATGCATAAATCTTTTTCCTTCACAAACGTGGGGCATGTGCACGAGTGTGGATCACCTAGAAATACCTAATATAAGGAAATTATCAAGATAATTGTGCTTTAATATTAAAACAATTTGAGTCCCAAATATGAACTTACATAATTATATAACTAAAGAATCATTTCTGTTGCAGTTAAGTTTCAAAAATCGTTGAAAACACAGTACACTGGCAATAACATCATAACATATTATCAATGTAGCAAACAATCTGAAACAGTATACCAAGGGCAGGAAAGGAATTTTCTTCCTGGGAGCACAACCTGGAGATCGACAAAAATTTCGACCATCAGATTAACAGATTATAACCTGCAACTCCTTGGCAAGAGTAAATTAAGGTGGCTTCATTTAACTAATCTGAAGGCACCATAGCAGGCGTGCACAATATGTCTAATGCATAGCAGGGTCAGAGAATCCAGCATCCCACTTCTGGACACTGATTACCATCAGAGGAGGTTGGACACAAGCGTGCAAAGCATCATGGTAAGGAAATCAAAATATTAAGTTTCCATAACTCTCACTGGTACAAATTACAACAAAAACAGGAGACTCAACAGTCAACAATTAGATAATATTCATTAAAATACTAGCTGTCACATAATATCCTTCAACAATGCTGCAGGTCCTCACTATTTGTTTTTTTTTAATATGGTACCAGAGCTTGAATTAGAACGGGAAAGCGGAAACACTGGCAAAATGGCGGCCATTTCGTGGCAAATTTTGTGCAGACATTTGAAATTATTTCAGTATACACTTTCTAGACATTCTTTTATTACCATAATAAAAATGAGGAAGAAAATACAAAATTTGGCCTTGACTATTTCTGCAAAAGCGATGTGCACATCGGCACACACTGTTAACCATTAAAGTGCAAGACTCTGTTTTGGGGTTTTGTGGCGCGATGGACAGAGATATATGCTCAGTCGGACATGATCCATGATCTATACAAAAGTCAAAACAAACCACTTCACTGGTACCTCTGAAAGAGGTGTCGCATGTGCTTGGGTAAGCCTTACTATTACTTCACTGAAATGACGTCATCCGTCAGTCTGTCCTCCAGTAGATTATGGCTCTCGAACCATGAAGAGGCAGATTGAACTCTAAGTCAAGGCACATTTTATCAATCTCTTGTGTTGCGGAAATTTACTGAGATTTTCGGCAGGGTGGAGGCTGACGGGGCTCCCCTCCATGGAAACAAAATGAGAAAGATAGAAATTTTACATTTTTTAATTTACTTTACTACAAACATCTAAAATACAATGTATACATACTTTTTAAATTAATAGCATTATATATTTTAAGCGTCTTCACTTTTGGTAGAATACGTTGCATTTTTTACAAGTGGTATACATAATTATACACGCTAGATTTCAAATTAATTACTGTTCATTGATTACTATATACTGTACATTAATTAATCTATATACACACGTATATACAGCCGACTTACTTACACTATAATTTCGTTAACTGGCGGCTTATTGTTTGCTGGGAAATATTTTTTCTTGAGCGACTGATAATTTCTTCGTGTGAAGACAAACGCAATACCAATGTAGGCACCAGTAAGCAACGTTACAGTATACAACGCTATCTTTATGTCGAAATCAAATTCCACGATTCTAGATATGAGGAGAGGAAACCAATAACTTAAGGCTGTAGTGGTTGACAACTTGAGCAATATGACAAATTTACGACGCTTAACAACATTCGATTTTTGTGCAATGTTCCTGCTTGCCTTGAGTTTTTGGCGAATTCGATAAGCAGTGAAGATGAACATTCCAATAATGTACAACAAAAGACAATCTTGAAGGCCATATACATCAACATCAGCTGACCAATCGGGAGTAATACGACCATTGATACAATCTCCAGAGATCTGTTGATAAATCCTTGCATCATCATCCTTCCCATCTCCATTCGCAAATACAATCCGTTCATAAAACTTTAAGCTTGACTGAACATCTTTCTTCAAAGATACAATAGGTTGATAAATCTTTGCATCATCTTCCGTCGCATTTCCTTCCCAAGCACTGCAGTGCTTTGATTTAACCTCGACTGGGCATCTTCAACTACAGTGTCGGTGCTTTGATTTAACCTTGTCTTTGACTGCAGGACATTATCCTTCAAGGATGCAACACGGTGATAAATCCCTATATTATTTGCCGTCGCATTTCCATTCGCAATGCGTCGATAAAATCTTAAGCTCGATTGAACGTCGTTCTTCACAGACGCAATAGGTTGATCAAATCTTAGAACATCTTCCTTTACTAGTACAATGTAAACAATCGTTATAATGATGGGAACTCCCCAGCTAAAGAAACTATATTTCAAAAATATGTTCCACTTCTTCAGTTCATCAGATTTCACTAGAGTATTCCCACAAAATGTGTTTCTTAAGTGATAGATATTAACCGCAGCATTCATAATTATGCTATACGTCATAAACTTGTTTGCTACAAACAGCCTAGCACACGGTATCTCAAACAGTTTACCTACATGAGAATACAGTGACAGAAATACTACAAGGTAAGTCTGCCACAACAGCAAGGCGAAGCTAAAACTCATTAAATTCAAACCAGGAAGTGTGCGCAGTTCTGGAAGCATGCAGTAAACTATCAACAACAATAGCAAAGAAATAATAGAAAGCGCTAAAGCACATAATGGTGCAATAATAATCTTAAAGTTTGTAATTACGTAAATAGGACTGAAGTTTTCTTTGCTGCATACATAAGGTTTACCGTCTATCACCGCATAATCATTTCTTTTGAAATATTGACCGTTATCTGCCGAATACACAGCAAACTGCTTTGTCACAGTATAGTATCTTGCATTTAATTTATAAGAACTGTAATATGCGGATAATGACTTTTGCCACGAATTTTGCGTTCTCCAAATCGCCTGAACTCTTGAATCATTGGAAGCACACATTTCGAGACTGTCGTGGCTGAATCGATATTCGCGATAATCGTATATCTTGTTGTTGTAAACCAGCAAAAAGTTTTTAAAAACATTGTATTGTTCATCGTACTTTAATTACTTTGACCAAATCATCACTGCAGGACAATGTGAGTTTGCTTGAACAAATTGCAAAATACCCCATAATCACTCCGTAATTTTGCCTTCTTAAAACTTGATTGGAGAGAACAGTAAAGTTTGTATGTAATGTGTAATTTTCGGAGTAAAAACCGTCCACCGATACATTACAATCTTGGAAAGCTATTGTTATTTTTTCTGAAACAATGAAATTCCGCCATTTTTCTTTAATGACACGGTCAGCAGAATTACAAACTTGTAGACCATAGTCCGTTATTCTGTACTCATCATAAGAGTACATTCGACCTTGGTACATCATTGAGAAGTTGTTCCATACTCTGTATTCATCTTCATACTTTATAGTAAAGATAAAATTGGCGCATTCGGTCACACATGTCATAAGTTTACCTTCATACACAGCGTAATCGTACTTTGTTATCAGCTGCTTTGCTGCCAAAATGCGAACTCTAAAATTCTTGAGCACGGTGTATTCCCATCGGTCGAACCAAACGATTGTCATGGGTTTATTGCAACGTTTTAGATGCATTGTTAGCTTTACCCACTTTTTGCGTGCTTTCCAAATATTCCGTACATTGACGTTGTTATCAGTGGAATTACAAATCTTTATGCCATCATTCAGAACTCGATACTCAGTATAATCGTACACCTTGTTCTTATAGACTATTGAAAAGTCAGTACGAACTTTGTATTCATCATCATATTATAAATTGATGATTGAATCGTTGCACATTAATAGATCTTCCGGGGTATACTCTCTTGATGGGGGTTTGAACTTTTCTTGGCATGTAAAAGGTTTACCGTCTTGGACCCCATACTCCTTTCTTGTGAAATATTGACTCGTAGCTGCGTAAAAGACAGTGAACTGCTTATTCACAGCGTAATAGTTTTGATACAACCAAGAATCTCTAATGGGTTTATTGCAACTTTTTTGATGTATTTTTGCCTTTACCCATTTATTGCGTAGTTTCCAAATATTCCCGACGTAGTTATCAATGGAGCTACAAACTTTTATGCTGTCATTCAAAACTCGATACTCAGTATAATCGTACACCTTGTTCTTATAGAGTATTGAAAAGTCAGTCCGAACTTTGTATTCATCATCGTATTTTATATTGATGATTGAATCGTTGCACATTAATAGATCTTCCTGGGCATACTCTGTTGATTCAGGTTTGAACTTTTCATCACATATATGAGGTTTACTGTTTTTCACCCCATAGTCATTTCTTGTGAAATATTGACCTTCACCTGCAGAATAGACAGTGAACTGCTTATTCACAGTGTAATACTTTCGATACAACCATGACACTGTAACGGGTTTATTGCAACTTTTTTTATGCATTGTCGCCTTTACCCATTTATTGCGTACTTTCCAAATATTCCTTACGTAGTTATAAGTGGAATTACAAATCTTTATGCTATCATTCAGAACTCGATACTCAGTATAATCGTACACCTTGTTCTTGTAGAGTATTGAACAGTAAGTCCGAACTTTGTATTCATCATCGTATTTTATATTGACGATTGAATCGTTGTACATTAATATATCTTCCCGGGTATACTCTGTTGATTCGGGTCTTAACTTTTCTTCGCATATATAAAGTTTGCCGTCTTCCACCCCATAGTCATTTCTTGGGAAATGTTGACTCCTAGCTGCGAGATAGACAGTGAACTGCTTATTCACAGTGTAATACTTTTGGTACAACCATGACTGTCTAATGGGTTTATTGCAACTTTTTTGATGTATTTTTGCCTTTACCCATTTATTATGTAATTTCCAAATATTCCATACGTAGTTCTCAGTGGAATTAGAAATCTTTATGTCATCATTCAGAACTCGATACTCAGTATAATCGTACACCTTGTCTTTATAGAGTATTGAAAAGTCTGTCAGAAGTTGTATTAATCATCGTATTTTATATTGAAAATTGACTTGTTGCACATTAATAGATCTTCCTTGGTATACTCTGTTGATTCGGGTCTGAACTTTTCTTGGCATGTAAAAGGTTTACCGTCTTTCACCCCACAGTCATTTCTTGTGAAATATTGACTCCTAGCAGCAGAATAGACAGTGAACTGCTTATTCACAGTGTAATACTTTCGATACAACCATGACACTGTAACGGGTTTATTGCAACTTTTTTGATACATTGTCGCCTTTACCCATTTATTGCGAACTTTCCAAATATTCCTCACGTAGTTATCAGTGGAGTTACAAATTTTTATGCTATCATTCAGAACTCGATACTCAGTATAATTGTACACCTTGTTCTTATAGAGTATTGAAAAGTCAGTCCGAACTTTGTATTCATCATCGTATTTTATATTGATGATTGAATCGTTGCACATTAATAGACCTTCCTGGGTATACTCTGTTGATTCGGGTCTGAACTTTTCTTGGCATGTAAAAGATTTACCGTCTTCCACCCCATAGTCATTTCTTGTGAAATATTGACTCCTAGCTGCAGAATAGACAGTGAACTGCTTATTCACAGTGTAATACTGTCGTTTCAACCATGACTCTCTAATGGGTTTATTGCAACTTTTTTGATGCATTGTTGCCTTTACCCATTTATTGCGTAGTTTCCAAATATTCCATACGTAGTTCTCAGTGGAGTTACAAATCTTTATGCCATCACTCAGAACTCGATACTCAGTAAAATCGTACACCTTGTTCTTGTAGAGTATTGACAAGTCAGTCCGAACTTTGTGTTCATCATCGTATTTTATATTGATGATTGAATCATTGCACATTAATAGATCTTCCTTGGTATACTCTGTTGACGTGGTTCTCAACTTTTCATCGCATATATAATGTTGAGCGTCTTTTACCCCATAGTCATTTCTTGTGAAATATTGACTCGTAGCTGCGAAATAGACAGTGAACTGCTTATTCACAGTGTAATACTGTCGTTTCAACCATGACTCTCTAATGGGTTTATTGCAACTTTTTTGATGCATTTTCGCCTTTACCCATTTATTGCGTACTTTCCAAATATTCCTTACGTAGTTATCAGTGGAGTTACAAATCTTTATGCTATCATTCAGAACTCGATACTCAGTATAATCGTACACCTTGTTCTCATAGAGTATTGAAAAGTCAGTCCGAACTTTGTATTCATCATCGTATTTTATATTGATGATTGAATGGTTGCACATTAATAGATCTTCCTGGATATACTCTGATGATTCGGGTCTGAACTTTTCTTGGCATGTATAAGGTTTACCGTCTTCCACCCCATAGTCATTTCTTGTGAAATATTGACTCCCAGGTGCGTCATAGACAGTGCACTGCTTACTCACAGTGTAATACTTTTGGTACAACCATGACTGTCTAATGGGTTTATTGCAACTTTTTTATGTATTTTCGCCTTTACCCATTTATTGCGCACTTTCCAAATATTCTTTACGTAGTTATCAGTGGAGTTACAAATCTTTATGCCATTATTCAGAACTCGATACTCAGTATAATCGTACACTTTGTTCTTGTAGAGTATTGAAAAGTCAGTCCCAACTTTGTATTCATCATTGTATTTTATATTGGTGATTGAATCGCTGCACATTAATAGATCTTCCTGGGTATACTCTGTTGATATGTATCTGAACTTTTCGTGGCATATAAAAGGTTTACCGTCTTCCACCCCATAGTCATTTCTTGTGAAATATTGATTCGTAGCTGCATAATAGACAGTGAACTGCTTTTTCACAGTGTAATACTGTTGGTACAACCAAGACTCTCTAATGGGTTTATTGCAACTTTTTTTATGCATCTTCGCCTGTACCCATTTATTGCGTACTTTCCAAATATTCCGTACTTTCCAAATATTCCGTACTTTCCAAATATTCCTTACGTAGTTATCAGTGGAGTTACAAATCTTTATGCTGTCATTGAGTACTCGATACTCCGTATAATCGTACACCTTGTTCTTATACAGTATTGAAAAGTCAGTCCGAACTTTGTATTCATCATCGTATTTTATATTGATGATTGAATCGTTGCACATTAATAGATCTTCCTTGCTATACTCTGTTGATGTGGATCTGAACTTTTCTTGGCATGTAAAAGGTTTACCGTCTTCCACCCCATACTCGTTTTTTGTGAAATATTGATTCGTAGCTGCGAGATAGACAGTGAACTGCTTATTCACAGTGTAATACCTTTGGTACAACCATGACTCTCTGATGGGTTTATTGCATTTTTTTTATGTATTTTCGCCTTTACCCGTTTATTGATTACCTTCCAAATCTTGCGTACGTTGTTATCAGTGGAGTTACAAATCTTTATGCTATCATTCACAACTCGATACTGAGTATAATCGTACACCGTGTTCTTATAGAGTATTGATAAATCAGTCCGAACTTTGTATTCGTCATCGTATTTTATATTGATGATTGATTCGTTGCACATTGATAGATCTTCCTGGGTATACTCAGATTTCGAATCAATTTCACGTCTGCTCCGGAGATGTTGAGTTATGAAGAGATGTTGGCTGTTTTTTTCAAGTCATTCTCGTGAAAAATTTGATTTTCCAATGAAGATATATTTTCACTGCCACCGTTTTGCCATTCTGTCTCATTTGAGCGGCAGATGGTTGTCGATTCTTTGGGTGGAACTTTTACCTCAGACGGTGATGATGTTGAAAAAGGCAGTACTGAGCTCTTTTGTTTTGTTTCACTTCGGAGTGTTTTCATCGCAGTTCCTAAAAATAAATTATGGTTATCAATTACTTCTTCTGAAGTGCTAACATTGTCACATTTCAATATTTACCTTTTCTAACCATCTTTGAAAGATCAGTGTTCTTCCGCGCCTTGCTGCCATCAATTTGTTTCGCGTTTTCTGTCAAGTTAGAGACACGTTTGTCTTGTTCGAGAGAAACGTTGACATTCAAGGGTTTACCTTTGAATTCATCTTTTAATTTTTTCGGTTCTCTTCTCGCCTGTCATTCTTTGAACCACCACCATGATAAAAACAGGCGAAAATCAGACAGAAGGAAAGGAAAACGACTCGATACAAGAGTCGAAAACTAAAGCCACGAACCATGTTGCAACTTGCAAGTGTTGTCAGGCAACTGAGTGCTGTCTTGGCCAAACACAAAATTTAAAAGGTTTATGATTAGGCAATTTGTGATAATGATACCAGCTGAATCCAGCTGTACTCGTTGTCAGAGCAAGCGTCTTCCATCTCTGAAATTGTGGGTTCAATTTTCGAAACATTCATTTGAAAAGAATGAGTCAACGCTCTGCCGAATGTTGTTGGTTTTCTTCGGGTACTCCAGATTCCTCCCACGAGAAATGTTGAGAGTGGGTTACGACTAAGTACACAACTTCCCCTCGTTTCTCCCTACCCTTCCACCCCGCGCCAGCTTTCCAGCGACTGCGTGCCTTGCTACCTTTGCCCTTGAAAATTTATTAACACCGAGACGATTGGGGAAGTGTGAGATAAAGCCCCTCCTCGAAAATAAACCCCTCCGTGTATAAGCCAATGGACAACAGCTCAGAATGAGCCTCAGACGATAATTACATTAAAGTAATATAATTATGTGTTAATTTGTGTTAATCATGTGTTGTTTTTAAGTCATGTCAAGTTTATATTCTTTTCGTCCACGGTATACTATAGTTTACAGGTACAATAAATATCATTACTAATATCAAATGTCGTCCGTATATGAGCCCCCCCCCCCGTATATAACACCCCTCGTGTATGAGTCCATAAAAATGCTTACAAACGAATATAAATTGCGTCGTATACAGTAACATGTTTTAGTTTTAAGGCCAGCCTATAAGCAAAGCTCATGGGCGAAGAACAATCTTGTTGACTTATCGACTCGTTCCCAGAGTATGCCCGTTCGCAGGTTAGGTACTGGGCCCTAACCTGCGAACGGGCATACTCTGAGAACGAGTTTGGCTGAAAAAAGGTTCTTGCACATTAAACTAGTGCCGATAGTTGTATTTTTTAGGTCTAATAAATGTATAAAAATTCCGCTCGGAATTTCATTTCTTCTATTACAAAACCAGAACCTCTTGTTGTTGTAAAACAACGAAAAGTTTTGCATAACGTTGTACTGATCGCCGTATTTCACTTTAACCAAATAATCATTGCAGGACAGACTAAGCTTTGCCGAACAAATTGTAAAATATCCAAAACTCACTCCGTAATCTTGCTCTGTGAAACTCTGCTCAGTGGGTTTGAAGAAAACAGTAAAATTTCTGTATAACGTGTAATTGGGATAGTGAAATGCGTCCACGGATACATTACAATGTTTGGAAGCCAACACTTCCTTTTCCAGAGCAATCAAATCCCGCCATCTTTGTTTAATAAGGGGATCAGAAGAATTACAAACTTGTAGACCACCGTCCGTTACTCTGTACTCGTTATAGCGGGACATTCGGCTTTGGTACATCATTGAAAAGTTGTTCCATACTCTGTAGTTATCTTTGGAAGTCGAAATTTTGCAAATATATATAACGCATTCATGATCTGCACAAATGACAAAATGCTATTGGCTCGCTTAAGTCACGTGCTGAATTCTGATTGGCTAATGCAAAATACCGCTGCAAAAATACACGGGCACCTAAGGATACATATTTATTTGTCATGTTCACATGCAGATATGAGATTTATTTGTCATGTTCATGTCTGCACCGAGATACGGAAAATTATCTGAAGGCTTTCAACCAATAAGAATGCGAGAAAATAGTACAATGAATAATAAGCAACTGTAATGGTTCACCTCTTAACCCATTAAGCTGCACCCTACTTTATTATTTTAACTCTGTCTGACGTCAGGCAATTTTACCTGGAAAGGGGAGAGTGCTGCCACTCAATGGATTAAGGGCTGGGTATTGGTCATTTTATGTCAAGTTGTCAACTTCTATATATTTCTACAAGCTTACATGCACTACGATTAGGATACGATTAAGATTTTGATGGATGGAACGCATTCCATTGCACGCTCAAAATGGTAATTTTTTATTTCATATCATGTGATCAAAATCAGCCAATTAAATGACCGGAATTTAATGATGTAATATAAAAAACAACAATACTTATTGATGTAAATAGTACGATCGCTCAGTGTATTTGGTAGTTGCATCCCTATCAACGAAAGCTTGTTAATATTTGGTGTTTCCCTAACACAAAAATGATGCCGACATGTACACTACTAGATCGACGTCTGCAGAGCTGCAGTGATTACACCATTTTGGTATTGCAGCCGAACACCCAGAAATTTAAAATATGATCATCACTGCGACATGTTATCGTGTATTAAATAATACGTCAATATATTTTCTTTTTGCATTTATAAAGATCAGGTTTCTAGCTGTCAAATGACACCTTCATGGAGTGATTGCGATAAAAAATAACCAAATGCGATCTGATAGGTTGAATTCGCATTTTTCCACCTTTGGGATTTAGATGTTCTTCCAATTTCCGAACATTTACCCAAATGTTTGTTGCGCATTTGAGAAACGTATGCCACTGTGAGTCTAGTCTGCAAGCTTCCAGTGTTGTTTGATGTAAAATTGCGGGTAAAATTTGTTTCAAAATATGATACTTATATACATGCGTTGCGCCCATAGATATCTTATATACACTAGATAGCGCATCTCTTTTAGTAAAATTGAAGCCAAGAATATTCCAGCGGTTACCCCATTTGAATAGAAGCGGTTACCCCATGTTGAAGTTTCCCACTCGCTAATAAACGCTTAAAAAACAACACTAACTTTCATCATTTGAATAGTTTAAAAATGTATGTGGAATAGGTTTAACTTAATGTTTAAGTTCCCTGTTTAAGAAATAGAAAACATACGAATCTTCTCATTTCATGGGAATATCCTGAGTCTGCAATCACGGCTTCAATTTTTGAATTGCAGAATAATCAGATGCACTATCTAGTGTATATAAGATATCTATGATAGCTATATGTCGGATCTAAACTGCTGTCTATGTCTGGTCCGAAATTCAGAGATTCGCAAGCGACGTTCTTGTCAACACGAACGTCACACGAAAATTGATATAACTAACCTTGGCCGCATTTTACATCATATCGCGCCCGTGTCAGAAAGCAACAAACTTTAGAAATCGTATGTTTTGACAATCTCGTACCCAGAGCCATCAACGATGGCTCTGGGTACGAGATTGATGTTTTGACAGATGTGTTAAAGATTACCACAAACTGATATAAACACAGATTTTAATCCAGTTCTCCCTCGGCAATCTGACGTCCCTGTTGATAAGAACGTCGCTATTCGCTAAGGTCGCTTGCTTCTCAAACTGAATGATGCTGGACCATTCTTGTTGGAAGTAGATTATGGGGATTTGGATAGTTATGTGGAAGTAGATTTGAAGTTAATTCGCGGTTTGCGGCTACCGTAAAATACGTCAAAAACAGCTACAATTGCATATCAAAGATGTATAGGTTATTTTGAGGCAACGAGGGGGTATGTGATTTATTCACCGAGGCGCACACATATCCCCGAGGTGCCTCAAAATAACGTACTTATTTTTCACATTGCGAGGTCGTGTTAATGAGTCAGAAAAGAAATAATTCTTAATGCCATATTGCCTTCGCGATGTTGTTTTTTTCTCTTTTTTTGTGCTGCAAAGACATTGACGGAAATTGATTAGAGGGGAATATTAATATATTCCCCGACAAGAACAAAGGAAACCGAGCAGGGTGAAAAATAAGTTTTTATATTCATTGTCCATTTATAGCGCGCTTTCAGTTTGTGTCATGTCGTATTTCAAAGCGGATAAAGGAAAGCATTGTTTTTTTGGCAGAGATCTCAATTTACTTTTGTACTTTATAATTGAGCTAAAGTGGATTGCTGTCAACAATGCGCCCCCTTGGTGTATATTTAAATCGATGATAATAATAATCATGACTGTTAACATTGCTTTTTAGGCCCGTTTCATACGCCGTACTTCACATGTGCCGAATACATTAAAAACAATAGGTAATGAGGCATGTCAGCTCATTACCTATTGTCTTTAATGTATTCGGCACATGTGAAGTACGGCATATGAAACGGGCCTTAGTCTTCAATATTTGAGCGAGTCATGCTTTGGAAATGACAATAAATTTTTATTACCCAACCCTTGAGTTGTTTTGTTTTTCATTAACCCAACCTTTTACTCACTCAAAATTTTGTTTACCCAACCGTTTTCTTCTGAATATTGAAATAATAATTGGATTAATATGTTCAGCCCCTTTAGACTATTACTGTGACCACCCTGTCGACGTCGCTCTCCTGCTCGACTCGTCAAGCGACTTCCAACAAGTCAATTTCGAGGCACAAAAGAAATTCGCTGAAAGTTTCATAACTTATTTCAAACTGCGCCGCACATTGATTGGTGGTGCGATTGCCATTGTTCCGTATAGTGACAAGAAAATCACTCGGTTGACCATCAGAAATTTTTATTACTCGAGATCAATTGCTGGGCTGACAAGAAAGATTAAGACACTGAGATATCTGGGTGGCAAGAGCAATCTGCAGGATGCGTTCCGTTTCGCGACTGATGGATTGTTCGTTCCCACGATGGGCGCCCGTTCGTGGGTCCCGCGCGTGGTTGTCGCGATTACTGGCAGTTGGCGAACTTGGAGTTCGTCGCAAACACGCGAGGTACTGAATAACTTTGGGATGTTAACCGGGTTTTCTAGTTCCCTTTGTGCAAAAAGCCACAAACCGCGGCTGTAAGTATGCCGAAATCTGGCTTGCAGGTTTTCTCTGGGGGAAACATGACGCTTGCTGAACTTCTAGCCAGACATTTATATCTAGTGGAGCTATCTCTTGTAAATAAACTTAGTTTAAGTTCTTTGTATGTTTGCATGGCGATAAAACATATAATAGTTTTGTTTGTGGAAACACCACGTAAATTTATTACTGCAAAGCTTTCGATCCGTAAGCCCGGATCTTCATCAGTGCTAATAATATGTATGACATATTATTAGCACTGATGAAGATCCGGGCTTACGGATCGAAAGCTTTGCAGTAATAAATTTACGTGGTGTTTCCACAAACAAAACTATTATAAACTTATTTTAGTTCAAGTTTCCTCCTGTAGTAACACTGGATCAATAAGAGATGATCCTTACTGGATCTCTAGGAAGAACAGTTTAGAACTGATAGAGCTATCCATTGTGAATAAAGTTAGTTTAGTTTACGTTTCCTCCTATAGTAACACTGGGTCATTAAGAGATGATCCTTACTGGATCTCTAGGAAGAACAGTTCAGAACTGATATAGTTATCCATTGTGAATAAAGTTAGTTTAGTTCACGTTTCCTCCTTTAGTACCACTGGATCAATAAGAGATGATCCTTACTGGATCTCTAGGAAGAACAGTTTAGAACTGATATAGTTATCCATTGTGAATAAAATTAGTTTAGTTCAAGTTTCCTCCTGTTGTGACACTGGACGTGTTCTTTAGGTTCGCAAAAACGCTCGACGTTTACAACGCGAAGGCATCAAATTGATGATCGCATTCGTTGGTTCTGTGGAAGGGCGGGAACAGCAGGACAGAGCGTTGTTTGAGTCCATGGTTAAATCAAAGGATGATTTGTTTATGATCAGATATAGCTACGGCTTGACTCAAGTTGCTAAGAAAATGGTCCAGGATCTATGCCCTGTACCCGGTAAGTTCAACAGACTAGAACAGCATGGGTCTTGTGGCCGATTTACACTACATAAGTCATAACTCTTGCCTAAAACTGTCGCATACAACCTGCTTACAACTTGAGTTGTTCTGTGTACGTAAATCAAGCACTTAACTCGCCCGCATGCAACAATTTTAGGCAAAAGTTGTTTAGCGTGAAACGGCCTTTAGATGTTGTCAGTGCGCTGCCTCGGTTAGCACACTGCCCTATATACCCTATGTCAGTCAAACCTGCCGCTGTAGGTCGAGGGTAGCTCAATATTCAGAGATGAATCCATCCAAATCTGGCAGGGGGGGGGGTTGCTCATGGTTCAGGGTGCAACCGTTGACCAAGTGCGTAGTCGCTAATAGAGGTGTGCATCGGATCGGAATGGACGTTTATAATCCGACAATTGGCTAATGTTTAAAATCCAATCCAATCCGAAATTGTCTAATCCAATCCGATCCGAGTTTTGATAAAGAATTCCGATCCGATCCGAAGAATCCTTTAATAAAATAAATTTCTCATTCAAGTGGAAATGTTTAACCAAATAATAATTATTATATTAATTAATTCATTTTATTTCGAATATCGAAGTCCGATCCGACTACGAAACAACTTTATCAATCCGATCAAATCGCAAATGAATATTTTTGTTCTGAAATCCGAACGAATCCGATCGGATTCGAATCGAATTTTCACACCTCTAGCTAGTCTATAGCCTTGCACTCGCCTTTGTAAATCCCCCTGCACCCCCCTCCCTCAAGTAAATCCATCCCTTAGTGTTATTACCTGCTCTGTTATTACCTGCTCTTGAAAACTTGTTGATTCTCTCATGTTCTTCAAGTTATTATCCCCCCCCCCCCAACTGTGCTCTGTGATCTGACGTGGGTTGCAACCAGTATATTCCCAGATCTCTTCTTAACCATTTCCCTATTTTCTCCAGATATTATTCCATGTCCTGTGACTGCTGACATTGCATTCATTGTGGATTCATCTGGCAGTATTGGGGTACCCAACTATGTGAAAACGAAGTACTTCGTGTATTCCATAGCGAATGCCCTCAACATTTCCTCATCAGGAGCCCATGCCGGCGTAGTAATATACAGCGAAAAGGCCAAACGACCTATAAAGTTCACCGATCATACGAACATTAAAAGTTTTAAGGAAGCTGTTTACGGTTTGGAATATATGCAAAAGGTAATGGATAATAATCGAACGGTTGCGAACTACACACGTAAGAATCTCACATCCTCTGAACAAGATGTGTTCGCAATGGTTGTTGACTTGTTGACAAACTGTTGAATTGCATGCAGGACGATAACAAGTTGTTGGAACAGCTTGTAACAAGCCTATTGAGCTCAACAACCTTGTAGCAAGTTCTCAACGAGCCGTTGGCGATGGACGGTCGGTTGGACGGTCAGCCTGTCGGTTGGATGGACGGTCGGTTGGTTGTTCGTTGGATGGTCAGTCGGATGGACGGTCGGTCGGACCATAGTGGTCGGACGGTCAGCCCGTCGGTCGGACGGACGGGTCGGTTGGTTGCTGGTCGGACGGTCAGTCGGATGGACGGCGGTTGCATGGTCAGTTGGTCAAACGGACGGTCGGTCGTCTGTCAGTCGGACAGATGGACAGCCGGACGATCAGTTTATTTTAACACATGCTTAAATTACTTTTCTAGAAAACAAGGATAGATCTTGGTCTTCAGAAAGCTCACACAGACTTATTTTCACCGTATTACGGAGGAGCTAGACCCGACGTGAAGAAACTGGCATTTATATTGACTGATGGACAACAAAATCCTAAAGGTGATATACCTTTAAAAGAAGCAGCGGGCAAGTTGATCAATGATGACATTAAAACAATCTCTATTGGAATCGGCCAAGAGGTATGAAATCTTTGCGTGTGCGTATCATTTTTAATTAAGCGATTTTGGTCGGCCGATTCTAATAGAACAAGATCAAATTTTTCACTGTCATCACTGATAATTTTCGCCGAATTTCACATAATTTTCGCTTTCAAAATTAAGGGGCTCCCCATTTCAAAATTAAGGGGCTCCCCATTTCAAAATTAAGGGGCTCCCCATTTCAAAATTAAGGGGGCCCCATTTCAAAATCAAGGCTCCCTCCTTTTGAATTAACTGATTAATAAGGCGGGCCTATTCGATCTTGAACTGTTCATCAAGATGTCCAGTAAGATCCATCACTAATTGATCCAGTGTTACTACGGGGAAGAAAACGAAAGCTCTCTTCTCAAATGTGATTGATGCGTACACAGAGAGGTTCAAATTTGACTTTCACTACTATGAAGGGACTATCAACCAATTCATACAACTGCGTGTATATCAATTACAGGAATCTCAGCTTACTTAAGAGGTACTAACCTATGTTGCCACTAATGAAACTCCTGGTACATTTTCCAGCAATTCAATTTTAATTTTCCAAAAACAATTGCAGGTTGATGAAGATGA